CCTTTTGCATGTCCAATGTTTGACCGCTGTGTTGGTCCCAAAGGGCAGTAAACAAAGGACATCTCACCCGAAGAAGCTAGGTAACGGCCATCCGGTGAAAACGCCAGTGAATAGATCGCTCCCTGAAAGATGACATAAAAAATCATGGCAGTTGCAAAAGTAAGCAAAATGAAATCATCCTGAATAAAAACAAAGACAGCAATACCCAGTCTACCACACGTACCTTGTGTCCAGTGAAAAACCGCACCGAACTGCCTGTGTTTATATCCCAGAGCCTGACGGTCCGATCACATGACCCTGTTGCGATGTAATTGCAGTTGGGATGAAAGACGACCCTCTAAGGAAGGGAAAAAAAAATACAAAATCACGAAACACGGAGGCCTTAGGATTAAAGAATCTATGTTAGAACAGTTTGGGCCTTTTTCAGCGACGCGCGCCTTTTGCCTCCAAGGTGAGGTAAGCTACAAAATAGTAGTTGGGTAAGAAAGTAAAACAACAAAATATGAATAGAAAAAAAAAAACAGAGAGACGAAAATGAAAATAACCAACTTCATAAAATTCAGGTTCGGTTTATCAAGATACAGAACATGTCACGTATCGAAAAAGGCCTGTTAAACGATTTCCTCGTAGTTCAGTAGTTAAAGCACAAGACAGCTTCCTATACAGAGTTCTAATTTAACTTAATTTATACAACAAAACTGTCATACATTGACGTCCGACACGTGACCAGCGAAGATCCTCAGTGGCTGTGGTTGGTCTGTGCTCCACAGTCGGGCCGTACGGTCATGTGATGCTGATGCAAAGTAATGTCCGCGAGGGCTGGGGTGAGATTCCACAAAATGAAGAGTGCAAACAATTCATAAATTAACTAAGCTTTAAAACATACCCAGAAAGTTACGATTCACTCCAGCACTTGTCTTGTGTTTGAACAATAGGCCATTATACAGTTGTGTGCTTGGTTGCCAAGCCTTTGAATGGGAGTGAGGCTAGGGTTGACCTTGTTATGATGCAAACCCTGCTGCCTTTCAAATGTAAATCACTTTGTTATCATGCTAAGTAGTCACAGGTCTCTATCACAACAAGGTCTCCTTCAGCCTCACTCTGAATCAAAGGCTTGGCAACTAAGTACACAACTGTAAAATGGCTCATTACTGAGAGTACAAGGCAATATAAGGAACCGAAGTCAAGGTCCATAAAAACGGAAAAAAAAACAGAACTCGGCCAATATCCAGCCATCTTGACCTCACGCTTATTCAAATAACGCATATTTCACTCTACCGATCAAATGAATACTTTGAAAACTGCTTAAGGTGGCTCGTACCGGTTTGCATCTTTTTGATGGTTTGTAACTTTGAAAGAATACAACAGAAAGACTGACCAAGGCCAGTTGAACACTTATACGGAGTTGAATTATATTAATCATTGGTTATCCAAAAATAGGTGTCATTTCGTCACGAGCAGTTTCCATGGCAACGCTTTCATAGGTTTATTCAGACGCATTTTTTAGCTTAAATAATTATAAAACTAACCCAGTGACCCCGTGATTTTTTTCAGTGATTGCTTTTGGCACTTGAAAAGGAAAATGCACAAAGATTTTTAAAAAATTCTACGGAGCGGAATTTCAGAAAATCTAGAAAAACGGCAATTTTCACACATTGCAAATTTCCTTCCGTAGAATTTTCTATTTTTTTTTCTGATGATTCTTTTCGACGTTATTATCTTATTGGAACAATAAAAGGAAGGGGTCAGCGGACTTGTTTTCATACAATAGCTTTCGTGAGTTTAACAATTTCCACGCGCGTTCTCGCGCATCTCAAAATCCGGATTCTATAAGATCCATAAGATCAACATTTGCTCATGATCTTTTATAGCTACCGCTGACTATCGCGTGTGTTCGCGCGAGCACCTACGATCTGATGTTTACAGACGTTTACTGCTAAGAAAATCATTAAACAACTGTCAAAGACAGCCTCCCGGGCTCATCTTAAAAAATCCTACACACGACTTCTGGCTATAT